TAACTATTGTACTTTAATTTAGTTTAGATAATAAGGTTAATATATTTTGTATATATTTATTACGTTCTTTATGTAATACTTTTGTTTACTGCGTTTTAGATATAATTATATCATTATAGAACATTATTTTACATCATTTAATTATGATTTATAATATGATATTAATTTTAAAATGTACTTGATGACTCATCCAACGCCACTATTGAACAAATTCGTACCTATACTTAGTACCCATACTTCAGAATATTTATCATAACTTTTGATGGAATTAACCAATTTTAATGAAATAAAGACTAAATGTAACCTGAATATACACTTAATAATTTCCTTAACTATTCTTATGATATAAATTAGTACTTTATACGTGATACGTTAACAAACAAACAGACAGACAGACAGACAGACAGAAAAATCTAAAAATGGTAGAAATGTATTTAATTACTTATTTTTAGTACCTCTCAATCACTTTTATTACAAAAATATAAAATGTACAGACATCTGCTATTTACATTTTTATTATATGTATAGATATAGATTGTGTGTGTTAGTGTTATATGTTTAGTTTTATATTTTACTTTAAGTTATTATTAGGTATCGTTAACAGTTTGTCGATAAAATACTGCATATATTTAATATTTTTTTCAGTATGTTCATTTTTTATTGGTTTGGGAATTTGGTTCAAAAGAGCGGGAATTTGATATTGTAATCTAAATTTTCCGTACATATTTTTATATTTTGGGATAATCATATATGGATTAAGGGCTTGTCGAGTAAGTTTTGTATAAATACGGCTAATTTTTAATTCTTCCTTGCCATAATTTTCAAGTAGCAATAGGTATTTCACTTTGTCGTGTACTGGTAGTATTTTGCAATGATGGAAAATACCATAAGGATTTTTTTTTATATTTATTAATTATTAATTCCAATGGCTATTTTATGATTTTTTTCTATCGAGAAAATTTACCAAAAACGTGTTTTGAAAACAATGGTCCACCCATAAATGTGATCAACATTAACATATATTTTTTTGCAGCTCTAAAAGGTATATACTTTGTTAATAAAACTGTTTTGTGGAGCCTAGTTTGACTATGTACAGCGCCTTAAGTCTATAGGTAAAGTCATTTTATCGAACAAAATGTATTGACTCACAAGGTGGTACGTAATGGCCTAACACGACTAATTTAATATGAATCAGTAAGTAGTCTATTCTATCTCATTTACTCGCAGGCTAAATCCTATATATGTTTGTCTCTTTTCAGTGTCGCTTTTTGGTTTCATCGACTTTCAAATCACAACGACACTAAAGAAGTTTTCACTTAAAAAAAATCAGTCGAATAGGACCTCCGCCTTTTTGTTTAGGTCGGCTAAAAATTAAGAAATTCAGTACACTATTCATCTCCACATTGTCCTTCACGATATTTTCACTGCGTACTTATTACATAACCATGGCCGCTTAGACCATACAAATACAAAACGTTGACAAAAGATCGTTTAAATTGCCGCGTTGGCTCATCTGTCGGCGGAGGAGTTTATTGCATGTTGCGTTGGCGTACGGGAAATGACAGTTTGAAGGAGAAATATTGTTTTGAAATAACATGATTATTATGTTGAATTTTTATTGATAAATATTTGTAAATAGCTATTAGATATAACTGTATTGTATTTCTGTTAATATTTATAATTAGCTGTCCGCCCCGGCTTCGCTCGGGTGATTTTTGGATCTCGACAACAACGCCACCTATCGGGTCCAATTGTGAATCTAAACAATTCTCTAATCAACTTAATCATACACACAAAATTTCATCAAAGTTGGTCCAGCCGTTTAAGAGCAGTTCAGTCACATATACACGGACGGAAGAATTATATAATATATAATATGCATGTATTATACATATAAACCTTTTTCTTGAATTATTCTGTCTATTGATGAAAACCGCATCAAAATCCATTGCGTAATTCAAAATATCTAAGCGTACAGACGGCGGAAAGCTACTTTGTTTTATAATCAACTAGCTGACCCGGCGAACTTCGTACCGCCTAACAGTCGATTCTTTAAATTTCTTTTTTATTGACAAATTTTATTGTCACTCAATTGTTTTGCCATCTCGGAACCCCTCTCCTAACACATAAACTTTATGGTATGGTATTAAAGTTCAAATTGACTTTTAAGTATTATTACGAATCTTTTGTATGGTAATATAGAAAAATGTTGTTTCAGACTTTTTCAGGCAATTTTTTTAATTTTTCTTTCCGTAAGAACTATCTTCGTACTTGAAGGAATATTATAAAAAAATAATTAGCGAAATCGGTTCAGCTGCTCTCGAGATTTGCGCTTAGCAACACATTCAGCGATTTATTTTTATATTGTAATTATGTCTTATATTAGTGGGTAGTTTTTTTTCTAATTTACTATGATTTTCTTTTTATTTTTGATACCTATCACATTATGTCCACACGTCCCGGGTTGACTGGGAGAGAATGCCAAAAGGCATTAAGCCCGCTGTAATATTATTTGTAAAAGTTTACGATACAGTATAAAAATTTAAATGTACCTTGGTAGCTCAGAGTACACGAGCAACCCGGGTTGAATCTCCACTGGTAACAATGAGTTAGAGTTGAAGAGTTATTTGCAATTTTAACTGCTAATTTACTACGTGCTTGGCTCGAATAAAACAGATGTAAATGTCTATGGGCCACAACAACCTTCACGTAGACTGCGTGCCCGTTTGTCACCCTTATTCTTTGTTTTAAATAATGAACTACAATAATTATCGCTATCGTTTGACGGTGCATGTTCCGACTACAAGTCTTTTAACGCTGGTGTTCCACAAGGCTGTGTGCTATCACCAACGATATTTCTTCTGCATATCAATGATATGTTGCAAACCAGTAACATTAATTGCTATGCAGACGACAGCACAGGTGATACTTTATACACCGGCCGTGCCAATATTTCTTGGGAAAACGTCGCCGAGTACCGGAACAAACTTGTGTCGGAAGTAGAGTCTTTGCTAAACAAATTCTCGGATTGGGGGCGACTAAATCTAGTCCTGTTTAATCGTCAGAAGACACAAGTTTGCGCATTCACCCCTAAAACGAACCCTTTTGTCGTATCTCCTCAGTTTCAAGGCACTCCCCTTGTTACCTCAGCCAGTATCGGAATCCTCGACGTCGACATATCGAGTGACGTTCAGTTTCGTGGTTACTTGGAAGAGAAGACCAAATTGGCCTCTAAAAAGCTTGGCGTGCTCAGATGAGCGGCACAGTATTTCATGCCGGCACTCCGCCTGCAACTTTACAAGGCGCAGGTTCAGCCTCACATGGAATACTGTTCCCATCACTGGGCTGGGGCTCCCCAATGCCAGCTCCTTCCACTTGACCGCATCCAGCGCAGAGCGGTTCGAATCGTTGACGACCGAGCCCTTTCCGATCGGCTCGATTCATTGGCACTGCGAAGAGATGTTGCATCTCTTTGCATTTTCTTTCGCATTTACTACGGCGATTACTCTGAGGAATTGTTCGGATTAATCCCAGCCGCCAAATTTCACGAACGCCCATCGCGGCAGAACTCCCGATACCATCCACACCATCTCGATGATTGGCGGTCCACTACTGTGCGATATAGAAGCTGTTTTCCTCCTCGCACAACTTTCTTGTGGAATCGATTACCACCAGCTATTTTTCCGGACCGATACGACTTCAAGGAAAGAGCCTACTCCTTTTTAAAAGGCCGGCAATGCATCTGCAATTCCCCTGGTTCCCCTGGTGTTGCAGGTGTTCATGGGCGGCGGTAGTCACTTACCATCAGTTAGTTGGCCCCCTCTCCTATAACAAAAATTTCGATGCCCATTTGGCGTCAGACGCTCGTATGCTACGGGAGTCACGGTCGCGTCCATTTTGGTACATATTGTATGATATGGAGCAAGTGATTAACAGGGCACATTTCATAATGCCCGGGCAATATGAATAATTCCCAATATGAGTAGGCGCGCCGTATGTTATGGTGCACCTTACTTGAGAAGGAGATGCGGAAGGAGTAGTCCTCCGCATCTATGAGGCCACTATGAGTCGGCCAGCGCTGGTGGGGCTGCGGATGTGTGCGAAAGCGTTCCCGTGGCCGCGCTAATATTCGGCGAAAGTGGACCACCATGAGGGCATTATAAATAGTGCCCTGATTGATTGACCAATTGGTCCATAAAATATATACCTAGTGAAAAGAGCCTGTCTGAACTCTCGTCGGAGAGCAGTATTGTCTTTGGTGTCTAAGGCGCTGCGCAAACCCAGACACTTTTGAGTCTTGTGTGGGATACAAGCTACCAATGAATATTTTATTTTCATGTAATCAATATGAAATCAGCCATTCATTCCACACACGCAGACACTTTTTGTGTCCAGTTGCTTCCACTTGACACATACCTACCGCCAATCAAAAAGTGTTCGGTGTAGGTAACTTGAAACTTTAAGTCGTCAGTTGAATACACAAGTAACACAAAGTAAATTTCCTTACAATTGTACGTGGTTGATTTTCCTGAAAATATTGACGGCGACGACGTCTACGTCAAAGAGTAATCAACACAACAAGCAAAGTTAATGTTCCTCCATCGACATCCAAGGTGAAAGTGGCGGAAAACAAGCAACGAATGGTTATCAATGTCCAGAAGTAGCAACCGGCGACAGTGTCCGATTGCCGCTAGCGGACACAGCAACCACTGTCTCCTGTGGTGGTGTCCCATGTCGGCAACAAAAAGTGCCCAAGTTTGCGCAGCGCCTAAATAACTGTCCCTTATAGAAAGTCACGTCTCGTATTTGTGTCAATTGACGTCAACAAATAAAGTCGCCCGAATTATTGTTTTTTTTTTTAGGGATTTGACAGAATACGTCAGAATGTTTATTAATCGTATTTTTGTATTTAATTATTTATTACTTACATACATCTGTATTTTTAAAGCAAAATTGACATTGTATTAAAACTAGACCGTGTAAAATTTTCTGAAACGATATTAAGAATTTGCTACATTAGCTCTTCTAGAATCTTCGATAATATGATCCAACTTCTGCCGCGTCCACAACAAATTCCTTCTCAATCTATACACGATTTCGTTTGCCGTTTCATCGCCAATATCAGAGAATTCGTGCATCACTCTTTGCTTTATTTCTTCAAACGTCGCGTCCGAAATACCATCATCGACTTGGTATCGGTTCTCAACAAATTTGCGGCTCTCTTCAGGGTGGTCAAGGATTTCTTTCAAATCTTTCGCGAAGTTATGCAAGAACTCTTCAAGCGTCGCTTTAACTTTCTCAACTTCATTGATTGTTAGGTGTCTGTATTCTGAGCTAACGTATTCCGCCATTATGTTTTTGAAATTCTCCACGTAGGCGACAAGTTTGAAATCTTGGCGGAGTTGCGTCACTTTGTGTTCGTCGCCATCTTGATTTTGTTGTTCGAGTGGTTTCGCATTAACGTTAGCTGTTATTAGCAGCGTTAAAATAAGTAGCAAGTGATCTGAAAAACAAACAATAGTATTCGTTAAGATACAATTTGTGATCTATATAAACAAAAATCAATTGCCGCATGTATGAAAGATCTTTCCTTGAAAACGGCTCAAACGATTCGACTGATTTTATACCGACTTTAAAAAGGAGGACTCAATTCGACTGTATGTTCTTTTTCATGTGTGTAACCTCATAATGAATTTGTATATTTGGGATGTTTATTTAGCAGGGATGGTAGATATGATAAGTATATAGAACGACGAGTGAACGCAGGAAATAGAGTTAATGGGGCTCTACACGCTATTATGAGGAGTCAGAATGTGTCAAATAAGGCACGTATGGCAATTCATAATGATGTGTTAGTCCCTACTTTAATGTATGGTAGTGAAGGTTGGGTCTGGCAGAAGAAGCATGAGAGTAGAATAAATGCTCTAGAAATGCGTTCCTTAAGGAGTATGCTAGGGCTGAATCTGAATGACAGGGTGAGAAATAGTGTGATAACAGAAAAGTGTGGTTTGCAAGATGACGTTGTGACAAGGATTAAGAAAGGAATGCTTTGGTGGTTTGGTCATAAACAAAGAATGAACGAGGAAAGAGTGACAAAGCAAATTTATATGTTGCAGAAGTGAACGGCAGGTTCGGGAAGGTATGCCCTAGACGAAGGTTTATCGACCAAATCGGCGATACATTAATGGGCCAGATTCGGAGTACCCTTAACCGACGAGCGTGTATGCGTAGATATATGGATGTAAAGGAGGCGAGAGAGGTGTGTGAGGATCGCGCCAAATGAAAGTCCGTAGTCTCTGCCTACCCCTCTGGGTGACAGGCGTGAGTGTTTGTGTGTATGTAACCTCATAGCTTTTCTCTGGGTGAACCGATTTCGATGATTCTTTTCGTGCTTCTCACGTGGTCCCATATAAATTTGATCAAGGTCTGACCAATAGATTTTGAGTTATTCTTAATAATTTATATTGAAGTCGGTTGTACAAAGTTTTAATTTTTAATTATTTGTTTCCAGGATTAGGATAAGGTTTGTATAAAAGAAAAAATTTTGAAAATCCACCGAAAAGTTGGTAGTTAACTTGGATGGTATTTTAGTATGAAAATCTCAACCAAAAAAGTGACGTTAAGTTTGACAGTTTCGCTGTCACATGTTTTCATATCAACAAAAAATTCCCGATTGAATGTTTATGGAATGCGAAAAAAAATTAATTTTAAGCAATAGTTCAGTGTGTTATCGGCAGTGATCATACCTTTTGCAATCAAAAGCGTAAAATGCATTAAATTTGTGTGTTGCAAACGTCGAATAATTGAATTTAGTTCGATTTATTGAAATTGTTTTGTTTTAATTCACACAAATTCGGACTATGAGAGTGAGGGAATGTCCTGCGCCGTTGACTGGTCTCCGTTGAGGCTGGCCGCTGTGACCGAAATTTGGTCTGGGGAACATTATTATTTGTACAAAAGACGAAGCAAACCGTTCGGCTCAAACACGGGGTTGAAGACCGCCGACTGCCGTTGTCAGATGATAGAAAGTTAAGGGAGGAGTTATAATAAAACATGGGATTTATGCGCACACTATGAAATGCAACCTACAGAACTGAGATGTAAATGTAATCAGTCGTAATACTCGTAATTAACTATACAGCACATCACACTGCAGCTATTATTAGATATGAATATGTAGGTGATTGATCATTTATTTTCAACATAAACGTAAACAAGCGGTATTGTTTATCCGCAGCCTGGAAGTGATAAGAGTTAATTCATACTATCTCTACCATTTGTTTATTCAACTAACACATTCGCGCGGGTGACTAATGCCCAATGATAATATAGGATTATTTTGCAATAAGCGGTCAAATTTGTAGAGAACGTACAGATTAAGTGATATAGGAAAATGGCGAAGAAATATTAATTAAAAAATATTTCAAACATTCTGTCCTTTTTATCTTTTCAATTCGAAATATTCATAAATATCTAACGGCTACTATTGTAATACGCACGCACACATTCGTAAGGGTCGATCAGTCGGCAAAAACATTGTGAACTGAATCGCACACAGAGGAGCGCGTGTAAGCATATTGTTGCCCATAAATTCCAGCAGTGGACTGCCTCTCCAGTATATATATTGGACTGCCGCTGGCTGATGATGATGAGTCTTTGTATATTATTCTAAAAATAAGAAAATGTATTTTCTGCCGACTTCCAAAAAGGAGACGGTACTCAGTTCGACTGTGTTTTTTTTAATGTGTGTTACCTCATAACTTTGTACTGAGTGAACCGATTTCGATGATTCTTTTTTTATATGAAATCTGATAGTTCTCGTGTGGTCCCATCCATGAATTTGATCAAGGTCAGACCAATAGTTTTAGAGTTATTCTTAAATAACTTATATTGAAGTCGGTTGCACAAAATTTTTTATTTTAAATTATTATTTTTATTTTTGACAAATGTGTCTGCAAATTACATATATTTTCGAATGTTTAACCAGTGCTCGTTACAGTGTAATCAAAAGTATACAGTAAAAACTATTTTATAACCGAGTTTAAAAAAGGAAGATGATGCACATTGCTAAATTTGACTGCATATTTTTTTATTTATGTTCGGAAATAAGTTCTTTGTCTATTAACTACTTTTAATGAATCATTATTAAGTAAGTTATTCGTCCGGAATCATCCCATATAAATGTTTAAGATATAATTACCACTAAAAGTGAAAAAATAGGGAATTAGGTTTTTACTATAACTATTTATACGATATTAAAGTTGTTACCTCACACATGTAGGTAATATTACTTAATTCACTCAAAAGAGTAAAAAATAAACTTTAATCAAAAACTACTAAAAACTAAATATACTAAAATGAAAAAAAAAATATTTTCAAATAGCTTCTGAATTCAAAGGTTTAATACTTCGACGCATCTCTTAGTACCGACTTCAAAAGCTATTTTTTTTGTATTTTTTTTATAGGATAAGGGTGACAAACGAGCACACAATCCACCTGATGGTAAGTGGTTACTGCGGCCCAGAGACATCTACATCTATCCTCTATTACAAATCAAAATGCAGATGCGTTGTCACCCGTGAGGACTAAGATGGAATGCCTCATTTCCAGTAAAAAGGGCCTCCGGCCACCTGCACTCACCAAGCGAAACGCAGAGGTAAACCTCTACTTCACGCTGGTTTTCTGTGAGGTCGTGGTACTACCCCGGTTCGAGCCGGCCCATCCGTGCGACAGCAAAAGCTGCCGCGTGGCTCTACCACTGTTAAAAAAAGTATGTAGTTTACGCGATATCTTCGCAGATTGTGAACGGATTTTAATATTTATTTTTTATTAAATAGGTTATACTTCAAGGGTGGTCCCATATAAATTTGGAGAAAAAATTCCACGCCTATGAATAGCAAATAAATAACTTCCTTTTTTAGCAATTTGAAGTCGGTTTTTACTTTTTGTTAAAAGTTATTATTATTCGATTTTGAAGTCTGTTTGTAATTATTTTGAGTTAATTTTTACACTGCGACTGAACTATTATGATGTTTACCACTCTTGCAATGATACTGGGCTTGAAATAACAAACAAACTCTCTATCAAACATGAACAAAGAAAAAAGCAACTCTATTATACATAACTTACATCTCTAATTTGATAGAGCGAATCTCTGATAAGTTTACACGGTAGTAGGTCACCCTATTTCGTCGCGTGGATGTCGTAAGAGGCTATGGGAAATAAAAGAAACATGAAACGGTTTCCGGGAGATGGTGATATGTTCGTCTCGTTTACGCCAGACGTTACACATATGCACAGTATTAAATAGACCACTGCTCGAGCTACTCGAAGTGGATGAAACGGACTACACTGAGAAACAACGGCTGTGGTTTGGCCACGCCAAATGCTGAGTGCTATCCTTTTTAGGATTCCGTACCAAAAGGGTAACCAATAGACCCCTATTACTGAGCCTGCGCTGTCCGTCCGTCTTTTTTTATAGGATAGGGTGACAAACGAGCACACAGTCCACCTGATGGTAATTGGTTGCTATGACCCATAGACATCTACATTCATCCTCAAAAAAGAATCAAAATGCAGATGTCACCCGAGAGGACAAAGATGAAATGCCTCTTTTCCAGTAAAATAGGTCGCCGATTCTCTACACTGACCATACGAAACACAGCAGTGTCAAGCTGCCATTTTACGGTGGTACTCTGTGAGAGCGTGGTCCTACCCCGGTCGAGCCGACCCATTCGTGCTACAACTATAGTACTAATATAGCTGCAGCATGGCTCTACCACATATAAGTCTGTCTGTCAGCGAGCTGTATCTCATGATCCGTAATAGTTACACAGGTAAAATTTTCACAGAATATGTTTTTCTGTTGCCGCTATAACAACAAATAATAAAAATAAATGAAAAATTAAAGATGGCTGCCCTACTAGAAACGTGATTTTTACCTACATAGTATTAAATATTGTACGATGGTACGGAACACTTCATGCACGAGTCCGACTCGCACTTGGCCGGTTTTTTTAATGTCACGTTAGGCAACGAGCACAAAGTTCACCTGATGGTAAGTGTACGCTGTGGCCCATATATATATATACATTTATTCTCGATTAAGAATCAAAATACAGATGCGTTGTCACCCCTAAGGACTGGAATGCCTCATTTCCAGTAAAAAGGGTCTCCGGTTCTCTATACTCACCATATGAAACACTTTTGCCTTTATATTAGAAAAATAATTAGGATTCCGCGCAAGAAAATGCAATCCAATCGTAATAAATTCCACGCGGGCGAAGTCGCGGGGAACGGCTAGCCTTGACTAAATTTAATGAGACCACCCCTGAGATACCCCTACAGCAGTTTGTCTCCAATGAGACTAGCCGCCGTGATCTAATTCCATGTAGAGAGGACATTATAACCCGCAAAAAAAAGGAATCATTGAAATCGGACAACGCGACAAAAATTATCGCTAAACAATATCGATCAAAGCCCTAATGAATTCTATCATCATCATTACAGCCCTTCACAAGTCCACTGCTGAACATAGGCCTCCCCCAAAGAATGCCACAAAGCACGGTCCTGAGCCACCTGCATCCATCGACTTCCTGCATGTCTTACCAGGTCCTCACTCCATCTCGTGGGGGGACGCCCTACACTTCGCCTACCGGTACGAGGCTGCCACTCGAGAACCTTTCTTCCCCATCGGTTGTCGGTTCTTCGAGCTATATGGCCGGCCCATTGCCACTTCAGCTTACTAATCCGTTGGGCTATGTCGGTTACTCTGGTTCTACTGCGGATATCCTCATTCCTAAGTTTATCACGCAGAGAAACTCCGAGCATAGCCCTCTCCATAGCTCGCTGAGCGACCTTGAGCTTCCTCATCCGGCCAGCAGTGAAGGACCACGTCTCAGTTCCGTATGTCATCACTGGCAACACGCACTCGGTGTACAGTCTCGTTTTCAAGGTTTGAGGTATACCTGACGAGAAGATGTGCCGTAATTTCCCGAACGCTGCCCAACCGAGTTGAATCCGTCGATTGACCTCTCGGTCGAAGTTGGACTTACCTAGTCGGACTATTTGTCCCAGGTAAACATACTCGTCAACAACTTCGAGCTTAGTGTTCCCAACAATACCGGCATAGGTGTGACATGGACATTAAACATGATCTTAGTTTTGTCCATGTTCATCTTAAGACCTATCCGTTGGGAAACACTATTGAGGTCATTGACCATAGTGCTTAGGTCCTCCAGCGATTCTGCCATAAGGACTATATCGTCGGCAAATCGAAGGTGAGTGATGTACTCGCCATTGATGTTGATATCGTATCCTTTCCAGTCCAGAAGCTTGAAAACGTCTTCCAATGCAGCGGTGAAGAGTTTCAGGGATATGACGTCACCCTGTCTTACACCTCTCTGCGATTGGATAGGTTTCGTACTCTGGTTCTGTACTCGGATAGTCATCGTAGCCCTACTGTACAAGCACTTCAACACTTCGATATACCGACAGTCAACTTGGCACCGCTGAAGGGACTGCAGCACCGCCCAAATTTCGACGGAATCAAAGGCTTTCTCATAGTCCACATACGCCAGACATAGTGGCAAATTGTACTCTTCGGACTTCTGTACAATTTGCCGAAGGGTATGTATGTGGTCTATGGTGCTAAAGCCCTTTCGGAAACCGGCTAAACAATATAATAACATAATATTTTATTATAAATAACAATATAAAAACAGTGGAGTTTTGGCGGGAACTTGACCGGCGACGGAATGATGCTCCTGTATTATTGTTTAAATAATGGTATGAAGTGGATTTTGATATGTAAAAGTGGTGCGATTTTGTGTAGTAAATGTCTGCTCGTGTGACCTATTAATGGAAACGATGAAATAAGTGCTCTGATGGTGATGTGATTCTCAAGATAAGGTGTCTGTCTGCTTAGGCGCCTTGAGATACCATAGCCAACTGTCAGCTGTCTGCTGACTCAAGTTGCCGTCAAAATCTCCCAAGGGCTGCACAATGTGACGCCTCAACATATTGTGAATCAGTTAAGGATAATTAACATTGTAACTTCAGGCTCAGAAGGGCTAGAACCCAGAGCCGTAAAGCCAGTTATAACAATATCAATATAAAAACAATATTCCCACGAATTGAAAAAAATAAATAAAAAAAATGTATAGATACATACATACATACATATAATCACGCCTCTTTCCCGTAGGGGTAGGCAGAGACCAGTTCTTTCCACTTGCTACGATCCTTACATACTTGTTTTGCTTCGTCCACTTTCATTGTTCCCTTCATACATGCTCTACGGTTTAGGGTACTCTTGACCTGGCCTTTTTTCAAGACGTCCATGATTTGGTCTAGAAATGTCCGCCTAGGTCTACCCCTTCCAACACTTTCATTCACACTCGCCTTATACACTTTTTTCGTTAATCGTTCTTCATTCATTCTCTCGACATGGCCAAACCATCTTAGCATACCTTTCTCAATTTTTGTCACTACATCTTCTTTCAGACCACAACGTTTCCTTATCTCACTATTTCTTAGCCTGTCACTCAGTTTAACTCCTATCATACTTCTTAATGCTCTCATCTCAACTGCATTTATTCTGCTTTCATGTTTCTTCTGCCATACCCAAGTTTCACTTCCGTACATGAGTGTCGGAACCAACACCCCCTCATGCACAGCCAAACGAGCCTTGTTAGACACCTTCCGACTGCTCATAAAGGAGTGCAAAGCTCCATTCACCATGTTTCCTGCATTCACTCTTCTTTCGATATCACTCTCACACTTTCCATCTCTTGTAAACTTTGAACCCAGATACACAAACTCTTTCACCTGTTCAATTTGTTCATCATGTATAGATTATAATATTTATTACTATAAGTCAGTGACTGACTACAGTCCCACCTGTTGGTAAGTGGTAATGAAGTCCTAGATGGTAAATCGCACTGTCTTAGCATAACAAAATCCTATTCACTCTTGCCTTAAACACGCCCAGATTGGTCTAATACTTTTTAGTTCGTTCATGATCATGACCCAGTTTTTTTGTCACCTAACCCAGACAAAATATGACACTGAAATAATATTTGTTTTGCCATAAAAGTAATCTATGATTTAAAACCTAAATAGTCTCTAAAACAAAACAACTGGTAAAATTAAAAATTTTGCACAACCGACTTCAATATAAATAAAAAGAGAACATCATCAATGTAGTCGAAGTCAATTAAATTCGCATTATTAATGACAACTCAAAAACTACTTGTTAAATCTTGATCAATGTAATAAAGGACCACGTGAGAAGCACCAGCTTTCAAATAAAAAAAGAATCATCGAAATCGGTTCACCCAGAAAGAAATTATGAGGAAAAACAGCCGAATTGAATACCTCCTCCTTTTTTGAAGTCGGTTAAAATAAGGAAATGACTATATTACTTTAGTCTCTCAATAGATTTACGAAAATTTATGAATGTACACAAAAATATACCCTACAAGATGTTTAAAAAAATTAGTGATATTCACTCTGTAAATATAGGATCAGACAAAAGCTACTATTACCAGTGACTCAACTCCACCGAGTCAATTCACTATTGGAGCGATGTATACGCTTTTACAACAAAAACTCAGAAAATATACAAAATTTCTGCGTCGCCGTGATCAAAATTATCTTCAATGATTAAATTAAACTAATTTTACGAATTCTATTTAAGATCGTTCTGCGTAGATTGGACCAAAGATTATCATTCAAAAGCTAAAGGCCGAGGGCTAACTATGACTTCGGGACGTCAAACATCTCAATCTCCCCCCGTGACCATGAGCGCTGTAAAGCACGTAAAACGTCACGAATTAAGAAGTTAAAATTAAACGCTATAAAATTCGTCAGATTAGTTTCATTTATTCGCGTAAATATATGAAATCATTATCTTCAATGATAACAAAACAGTTCCGTTTCCTGTACAAATTTAATACTACAAACACGTAAATACTCACTCATTGTAAAAACTAGCGACGCGACTCGACAATAGAGGACGCGGTCTCGCGATTTACTGCACACTTAAAAAAGGAATACGCAATCGTTCAGAAACCTGGACGATGTTATGCAATGAGGAAAAATTATTAAAAATACTGAAAAAAAACTTAGCACTGCTTAATAAAGTTAACAGTAAAAGCTACAGCTAATATACGTCCCACTGCTGGGCATAGATCTCCTCTAAGAGAATTATAGATTTGTCCTCCCCGCTGCTTCATTGACGGACTTCACATGTTCTCGCAATATTATATTCCTCAGTCATGCAGATTTCCTCAAGATGTTTCCTTCACCGCCAAGAACGTGGCTAAACAGCACTTAAAATTGCAATCAAGAATTTCATTGATGCGACGGGTATTGAACCCAGGTTCCTCGCGTACTGTGACATTTACGATTCGCATTTAGCCACGCTATAGTGGACAAGTTTTTGTCTGTCTGTCTGTCTGTCTTTCCCTCTGTCTGTTTGTTCCGGTTAATCTCCGAAACGGCTGGACCGATTTCTACGGGACTTTCACTCCCAGCTAACTCATGTTATAGGGAGTAACTTAGGCTACTTATATTTTAGAAAAAGAATTAGGGTTCCGCGCAACATAATTAAAACCCTAAAATACACGCGGGCGAAGTCGCGGGTTACAGCGAGTAACAGGTTATATAATATACTAGCTGTTCTCCGCGACTTCGCCCGCGTTAATTTAGGGGTGTACAAACGAGTAAACGAGATTATCGGTGTTCGGTATGATAGCAAGGGTCGTACAAGTTAAGTAAAATCAGAAATCCGTAGAAAGAAAGCAGTGGTCGAGGAATATAAATCAATGAAGCAACGAGAAACACACTCACGCAGGCGTACTAAACGAATAAACGATACGAGACGAGTGATCATAGATTGAGTCAGGCAGGAGCTGTCACTATCAGCACAGATTAAAAATACAGTTGACAAACACTAGTAATAAATCGAACTGTAAACGTGAATCGATTTTATGATTTATTTTTATTATGTTGATATTTTATTTTTTAAACCGTTAATACTATGTTAATAATATATTTTAATGTATCTATTTACTCTGAAGGAAACAATCATTTGGTGTAAGTTGTTATTATGTTTAATTGTTAAAACTCATTCACATTAATCGATTAAAATAATCGATTTCGTATTTTATTCGTGGCATAAACTTATTTTTAAGATTCATCGTCTCCCTTTTTTTAAACCATATTTCAACTTATTACAATTAGCCCCAGAAATCCACGTCTTCTTTAGCTGGTTATTGCAAAATAACCCTGTATTAGCTGTAGCTTTATTGTTAACTTTTATGCGAACAAAAAAGCGGACTAATGCGCGACGAACGAACAAATTGTTGAGGTCTGCTGTAACCTCAAAACTTTTTTCTAGGTAAACCGATTTCGATGATGGTTTTTATTGAAAGCTGGTGCTTGTTATGTGGCCCCATATAAATTTGATCAAGGTTTAAACTGTAGTTTTTGAGTTATTCTTAATAATTTATATTGAAGTCAGTTGTACAAATTTTTTAATTATTTATGTGTGTAACCTCAGAACTTTTTTCTGTGTGAACCGATTTCGATGATTCATTTTTTATTTGAAAGCTGGTGCTTTCTATGTGGCCCCATATAAATTTGATTAATGTTTGAACAGTACTTTTTGATTTATTCTTAATAATTTATATTAAAGTCGGTTATACAACATTTTTAATATGTACATATGAAGTTAAACAATACCTAACTTCGAACAATAAGATGTCCTTACATCCTTAATACCTAATTGTTTACAGTTTATTTCACAAACATTCAATTTAACAATATTAAAAACTATGATAATAAAAAAAAACTAAAACTAGAAACTTAATTATCATATAGTCCTACTCCCCGCGGTATCGTGCCAAGAACGCTGACTGCGTTTCCCCGCTGAATGGCTATACTTAGCCTTTGAGCGAGGAAAGAACCAGCCCTCTTATCACCAGCAGCAACGACCAGCCGCGGATGGTGTTCCTTTAGGAACTTCACCGCACGTGGACCCCACGGACCGATAGTCTCTACAGCAAATGGCACAAATATGTAGTCATCTCTCAGAGATTCATATTTGCGCCACTTACTCAGTTCAGCTGCCTCTGATGCCGCCCCGGCTTTAAACGAGGTACCCCTGAGATGAGAGGCCGCCAGAGTGTCTACTCTCTCCCAAGGGACCAATGTCATACCCTCGGGTCTCTTGCCATCGTCTCTAAATATTCCACAAGGCTCTAAAACCGAGGGAACATTTATAGAGGCAAGAGCCCTTCGGATGACATCGTTCAAAGAACTGTGTCGTGAAAACCTACCAGCGCTTTTCTTACATGAAAGTCCGTGGAGCCCAAACTTGTCGACGCTGCTACCACAGGAGCACTGATGGGGTTGACAAATCGCCGCTCCTAGTCGGATTCCTACGGCAATGCGCAAGCTTTCTCTATCAAGTAATGTGCCGAGATTACTTGATGCTAAAGCATGTAACCAGTGACTAGATTCCTTAGTCGAAACAGCTAGAAGGCGTGCCTTATCTTGGTCACTATGGAAATCATGAAACAAATCCTTCTGCACGCCCTGTACCAACGGAATATCCCACTGTTTTTGTTGGTTAACTTCCAGTGGAATATTTTCACCAGGACAGAGCGTTTGCCATGTCTGCCCTGCCTTCGTAGCAAAGCATAGGTCTACTTTATTATTTAAAATTATGTTACATAAGTCACTGACACTATCTACGGAAGCAAGGAAAGCAGGCAATGCAACGCTAGAAAGATTTCTCACATCAATGCCACCAAATTTTATAGTTAAAGTAGCTTGAGTCCAGGCTGTTGTATTTAAAGTTAAATTTAGAATTTTTTCTACAGCTATTTTAAGATTATTATCAATATTTTGTAAAATATCCGAACATTTCCAGACTGGACTCGAGCGGAGTAAGTATGTAAATCTAGGTACAAGAAGACAATATTTTAAAATGGTAAGAGCTATGTGGGGGTTTAATTTATACAATTTATCAACGTGGTTTAAAAACTGATCAAATTTTGTTTTTATATCAGGTTTAATACTATCGAAAAACAACGGGGCACCTAGCAGGTATAGTGATTCCGTATTGACAGTTTTTATTCCTGGACAAATATGATTAAAATTTTGAATTAAAGTGTCTCTATGAGAAGTAGATAAATTATTGGAAAAAAATATTACACATTTATTGCTATTTGGTTCAAGGCCAATATTTTTAAAATTTCGATAAATATGAGTAAGATCGCTGAGGATGTCATCTGCTCTACCTCCCAGTGTACCGTCGTCTAGGTACCAGACATTCAGCTTGGATTTCAAATTTGAAATAATGGATTGAATTCCCAAACTGAAAAGTGCTGGACCCAGTGGGTCACCCTGCTGAACACCAACAGCAGAATCGATAACATGGTTTTCGTAAAACAAGTTAGTATTTTGACTATAACATTGCCAAACGTAATGATAAATTTCGGGGGTATTGTTAGCCACTTTTTTCAGAAAGGTTACCCTATCGATAGAGTTAAAAGCATTCCTTAGGTCAACCTTCACAAGAACATCTGCATCAGAGTTTGTTAAAAATGTACGCACTGAATGTACCGCCGCCTCACAGCCACCTCTAGTGCCAAAACCTAATTGAGTAGGCTGAAATTTGGTCTCAAGGTTAGAGATTATGTGCCTGCAAGCTAATTTTGAAGTTAAGCGTCGAAATGTGGAACCAACGGCAATAGGACGGATACCGTTATCCTTTTTTTTGAAGGCACATAATCTTGCCCCATATAAGAATGGAATGAAATTTGGATTAACATTACCAGAAAGCATAAAGTTACATAATTTTGTAATGTCTTTAAGAAGTACTCCGCCGGCGTCACCGGCAGAAGCGCTTACAAGATCTTTAAGATGTTGAGACGTAATTCCGTCAATGCCGCCAGCAGAACCATTTGAAAATGACATAATTGCTTCTAAAGTGTCTTTTTCCGAAATTTGTAAAGGTTGCATAGAAGTCTTGGGAGGCAGCGGTAAACCCTAAGACGGTTTGACCGAAGGATGCTTTTGACGAAGGCTTTCAAGAGTTTCGACATTACGAGGAGCCAGGATGTCGTCTGAGAATAAAATATGGGATGCATTTTTTAAGTCGCCATCCATTACTTTCGACTCAACTACTTTTTTTAAATCAAATTTAGGACGTGGTCGAGATAAATGAGTATTAAGTGGGTAATCTAAATCTTGAAAAGATGTCTCTTTTAGTTGAGACGTAATTGATTTATTTATTGTTTTATCAAAATGAAAATGGGAATACGCGAAAGTAAATAATTTTTGCCAACTATTTCACTATTAGTGAAACAATTTTGAATAGTGCATGACAATGCTTTAGCAAGCTGCATCCTCGCACCTCTAGGAATTCTTTTAACCACTGGTACATTACGATAATAATTGTAAATTTGCTCCGAAAAAAGGGAAACATTTGTGTCATTAGAGGAATTGCTAATAAAGTTATGAATTTCTACGGCAGGCTGTGAAGCCGAAATAGTTTTTCTATGGCATCGTTTAATATGTATATTTAATCCCCTTTTACCTTTAAACAGCCTACCGTCAGCACAATTTTGACACTTTTAATTATTTATGTGTGTTACCTCAGAACTTTTTTCTGGGTGAACCGATTTCGATGATTCTTTTTTTATTTGAAAGCTGGTGTTTCTTATGTTGTCCTATATACTAATATTTGACCAGTAGTTTTTAAGTTATACTTAATAATGCGTATTTAATTGAATTCGACTACGTTGATGTTCTCATTTTATATTATATTGAGTCGGTTTAAAAAAAATTTGATTTTACCATTTGTGTAGAGCGAAATATTCATAGTTATTAGGCGTCATAGGATACATTTTATAAATATAATACGTATTATTATATTTTTATTAATTGTAAAACACAATAGTGTTTGATTT